AGTCCGGAGGTCTTTCTGTCAGAGTCAGATAGTCCGGAGGTCTTTCTGTCAGTGCGTCAGATAGTCAGTATGTCCGATAGTCAGTACATCCTTCAGTCAGTCAGTGTGTCAATTAGTCAGGAAGTCCATCAGTTAGTGTCTGGTAGTCCATCAGTCAGTTGGGTAGTCAGTGTGTCGGATAGTCTGTCAGTCAGTGCTTCAGAGAGTCAGTGTGTCAGATAGTCAGCATGTCCTCTCGTCAGTCAGACAGTAGGTCCTTTATTCAGTCAATACGTCTGATCCTCAGCCAGTATGTTCTTTAGTCAGTCCATCAGCCAGACTGAGTGTAAATCCGGCATCCAGCAAGTGGTTCCATCGTCACAGTATCAGGTTGCCAGGCAGTCAAAATGTCAGTCAGTTGGTTCATCAGGATTCCAATTAGCCAGCATGTCAGTCCATCGGCATCAGTCAATCAATCAATCTCTGGCTATGTCCATTTAGTCCGTTGGTCTTTGTGTCACTCAGTTATCCAGTTCGGAAGTTTGTAAGTCCACTGTTAGGTCAGTCCCTTGGTCCAGCCAGCACTCCCTTTGTCAGTCTGCAAGTCAGTTCCTTGTCCAGGATCCCAGATTCCGAACACAAGGGGGGAGGTTCACACTGGGAATGGTGGTCACAGCCCAGGAACCGGCTGCACTAGGAGCAGTGTGGCTTGCAGCCCCTAGGGGGCAGTGTGGAGGGGCAAGGGTAGGGCTAGGGTGACGGGACAGAGCAGACAGAGGAGGGGGTGGAATCTCTCCTGCAGCGCTGGGAATCACGGGGTGGGCAGAGCCGAGGGACTCCACAGCGCGGGAAGACGAACATGAACGAGTCAAAAACAGAAGATGGCACGAACGCCAGGAATAAGGATATAGAAACAAACATAGCACAGAAAAAGAAAAGGAAACCTGAACTGGAACGTCACTCGTAGATCTGTGTATTTGCGGTTTCATTGTCCACACCGAGGCTGTCTAGTCCTGGTCCTGGAGGGGGCGCTGTGTCTGCAGGTTTTGTCAGTCTCTCTAAAGCAGCTTCTCCTGAAGAGCTGGGAAAGGCTGTTAAATCGGTGCGGTTACACAAATATTTAGGTTAATGAGAGCTCTGTGGGATTGAAAAGGACTGGGGAGCTCTGGTCAAGTCCATCAGTGCCAGTGTCCTGCAAGAGTGAGTATCTCTGGAGTAGACACACAGGTGCACAACTCTGGTTGAGGATTTCTAGGTCTATCGAAATTAACAGCTAAAGAAACTTGAAAAGGACTGATTGGGTTCAGTAAGCTGACAGTCAGCTCAATCAGGTCAATCAGAGCAGAGGTGGAAGAAACAGACACAGAATCCACTGGAGCTCCAGGACTAGAGCTGTGGTGAGCTTCCGCGCCACACAGATAGAAGATTGCACCAGCCGAAATGCACGTGTTCCCCTTGCCAGCAAGTTAATATGCAAATGATCTGATGCCGGACTAGTAAAATGTGTGCGCTAACCTCAGCGTAGTACGTGTGCGAGATCTGGCGCTCAAGTAAGCGATCGTCTGCGTCAGTCCCCCCCCCGCCCCGGGTGACAGGTGCCGCATGCTTCATGATCTCCGTGTCTGACCGGCCTGCTGGAGCCTGTCGAGGCTCTGCCTGTGCCGGGAACGCATCGCGTGCCATTCGATTCGGAAAAAGAACAAAAAACAGCGACGTGCGAGCTCCACAAACAGAGACAACATCTACAGCAACAGAGGCAGTTTAAAAATAGAGACTGTGTAAATATAGAGCCTATATGCATATCTATATAGTATGTGTTTATGTACATACAGTATGTATGGAAATATATACAGTCTGGTACAGTGTGGTGTGGATATTGGTGTCAGCGTTGTTGTTTCCAAAAGGCGGATTCCAAAAATAAAGATGCATATATTTTGAAAAACTAACACTTTCAGCTCTGTGTCATCCAGTGACTTCTGCATGCGTGCAGTATGTGTGCACATTGTATTAAAACCTCTGTCTCTGTCTCTCAGAAAACTGGAAGCAATTTAAACCTGATTTTCTCCTCCTTTCAAACCGTGCCTGGATCACCTCCTTGTGGCTTCCCTGTCTTTGTCTGGTAGCACCCGGTCACTGGGAATCCCCATCTTTTCGCTGGGAACATTCCGACCATATCTACCCTGGACACGGGCGACTTTGTCTTGGATCCCTCACTTTGCTTCCGGTGTGTTTAATGGGTTAACAGGGCCTAGGAACGATTTCTCCTTTTAAAAAAAAGATATGTGTTAGTGCGCGCACACTAAAGAATTTCTAAAGCAACGTGGATGAGGAATTCAAAGATTTTTTTTTACCGGACTTAAATCACACTCTGCCAAGAGGAAGCTGGCAGAAACAAACTACAAACTGAGGAAGAATTGGGAACAGAGCAGTCAGAGCAAGCAGTGTATAGCAGTTATAGGAGCAACCATTGTTGCAGCGATAGCAGCACTAGCAGTAGGAATAGTAACAGTACTAGCAGTCGCAGTAGCAGTAGGAATAGTAACAGTACTAG